AAAAAAAAAAAAAAAAAAAAAAACAGCCTGGCACTCTTTAGTCGGGAGAGGATGTGACCCCAGAGCTCTGAGTCAGCTCACCGGGGTCGATGCACACCTGCGCCCACCCAGGGCGGTCTAATTGCCAGCCCCACTAACTCCCAAAATAAACCAAGTCTTCTTTCATACTTAGTCTTATGTGTACCTGGGGGACGTGTCTTTCTTGACCTACATCTAGGACTCTGAAAGCGGGTTTTGATTCTAGTCAAATAACCTGTCTAGCCCTAAGAAGGGCTTATTAGCTAAATATCTTTGTAACAGATTTACACTGAAATTGTAATACACAAATTGTTAACTAACGCACTTGATCCAAAACCCACTCCATCTGCAGCCCCGAAACTTCGCTCGCCCCCTGGACCGCCCTCTGCCCCGTCGCTTCCTGGGAGCCGCAGTCCCATCAGGCCCTGGAACTTGTAGTCCGGGATCCTTGCACCCGCTCCACCTCCATCCGGGCGCGAGCCTAAAGCTCCCGCTTCTAATCCCATCATCTCTCCAACACCGCCCTCTGCCGGCCTTGTCTCTGGACGCCCGGATTCTGAGCCGGTTCCGGCTGCTCCGGAAACGAACTTTTCTCTTCCGGATTGAGCCGCCGGGCGTCTGCACGTGGTTGTGTTGCCGGTGCTGAGGCCACCAATCCAAAAAGTAACTTCAGCTGCGGCCCCAAAGTGAGTGAGCCGAGCCGGAGCCATGGAGGGCCAGAACGTGGAAGAGTTGCTGGCAAAGGCAGAGCGGGACGAGGCAGAGAAGCTGCGGCGCATCACTGTGTACAAGGAGATAGAGCTCGAGTTTGATCTGGGCAACCTGCTGGCTTCCGACCGGAACCCCCCAACGGGGCTGCGATGCGCAGGACCCTCGCCGGAGGCCGAGCTGCGGGCCCTGGCGCGGGACAATACGCAGCTGCTCATCAACCAGCTGTGGCAGCTGCCCACGGAGCGCGTGGAAGAGGCGCTGGTGGCGCGGCTCCCTGAGCCCACCACGCGCCTGCCGCGTGAGAAGCCGGTGCCCCGGCCGCGACCACTTACTCGCTGGCAGCAGTTCGCACGGCTGAAGGGCATCCGTCCGAAGAAGAAGACCAATCTGGTGTGGGATGAGGTGAGCGGCCAGTGGCGGCGGCGCTGGGGCTACCAGCGCGCCCGGGACGACACCAAGGAATGGCTGATTGAGGTGCCAGGCGGTGCCGACCCCATGGAGGACCAGTTCGCCAAGCGGATTCAGGCCAAGAAGGAACGGGTGGCCAAGAACGAGCTGAACCGGCTACGGAACCTGGCCCGCGCGCACAAGATGCAGCTGCCCAGCGCGGCCGGCATGCACCCTACCGGACACCAGAGTAAGGAGGAGCTGGGCCGCGCCATGGAAGTGGCTAAGGTCTCCACCGCCTCTGTGGGGCGCTTCCAGGAACGCCTGCCCAAGGAGAAGGCGCCCCGGGGCTCCGGCAAGAAGAGGAAGTTTCAGCCCCTTTTCGGGGATTTTGCAGCCGAGAAAAAGAACCAGCTGGAGCTGCTTCGAGTCATGAACAGCAAAAAGCCTCGGCTGGATGTGACGAGGGCCACCAATAAGCAGATGAGGGAGGAGGACCAGGAGGAGGCCGCCAAGAGGAGGAAAATGAGCCGGAAGGGCAAAAGAAAGGGGGGCAGGCAGGGTCCTGCGGGCAAGAGGAAAGGGGGCCCGCCCAGCCAGGGAGGAAAGAGGAAAGGGGGCGTGGGAGGCAAGATGAATTCCAGGCTGCCTGGCTTGGGTGGCAAGAGGAAGGGAGGACAGCACCAAGGAGGAAAGAGGAGGAAGTAATAATTTCACGCGTTACTGTAAACCAAAAATTGTACATATACTAAATGTTAAGTTCTAGGAACTGTAGGGGGATGCAGAAGGACGTGGCCGCCGCCTTCGTTGAGCTTGAAGGGACAAGATTGCCCTCCCCTCGAGAGTATGTAAGTGTTGGACAAATCAGTTTTTCCCACAGCCAAGACTTTGGCTGGAGACTGAGGATGCATTGTGGACATAAGAATTAGAGAAATAATTTGGTCGAGACTGGGGATGAGTTCTATTCTTAAACAGCCATTTTTGTCTTTCTTTTTAACTTTGGATATGGGGTGAGGGAGAGTTGGTCATATTTCAGAGATTTACAATAGGCTGATTTGTATGCTTCTGCATTATTTTTATAACAAGTTTATGTATTTATCAAAGGGAGAGGGGAAAGACTACAACCATTTTCAAAACTGGATTGACAAGTAACTGTTTTAAAAGTTACTTAATAAAAGTGTGTGTGTGTATCTTGTGCTGCTTTTAACTTTTAACTATTGGTAGAAATTGTAAGGAAAGCCAGTTACGTGGATACCTAGTACAGATTATTTTCGTTTGCTTTCTAAAAAACACAAGCAGTTAAATTATAATGGTTGCAGCGAGACCAGTTTTATCAGAAAAATTCATACTTCTTTCGATATCAAATATATTGGAAGTGTACTACAACTGAAGTCTTTTCAAAAGGATTTCGTGTTTTTCAACACTGAACACATTGATTTGCTGTAAATAATAAATTTGGGCCTCATTAAATAATCCTTACTAATCCAGAAAATACGTGGATCTTTCTTAACATTTATATCCCAAGTTTTTTTAAAGCTTGACTTCAGGTAGACTCTGTTTTGGGAAGAGAGAAAGAAATTGAAAAAATCCTTAATTCGAGCACCATCTTTTGATGCACTTGTCAAACTGATCTGAGCTGGTTTGATTAGGAGGCGAAATGTTTATAGCTGCCCTGGGTTGTCTTCCTGTCCATCAGCCTTCCAGTTTGATCCCAGTAAACTCATCTCTGTAAAAATAGCTCAAAAGGATTCAGATTTCATAATAACAGATTACTAAAAATGCAAATATTTAGTTGTTACTGTCTTTGGATGCTTTCTGGTTAAGTTAAAGTTAAACTTTGCCATCATTAATTAACTTTTCCACTGGGACGCGACGGATATGGCATTGCTAGGCCCTCTCAGAATATAATCATGGCAAAATTTAACTATTGGTGCACCCATTTAATGACACCATGAAGAGCAAATCCATTCGCGGAGCATTTAACAACTTTTAAATTCTCTTGGGTTTTTCTGTCATTACTTATTTTTTTGTTTGTTCTTACGCTTGCTTGATTTAGCAGTGGGATGCAGCATTGGCCCTGTTTAAAAAAAAGGACTCTTTTTTTTTCTTGTTCGTGTTTACTGTTAAAACAGATTAAATGCAGGGTCTTGAGAATTTAAAATAATTTTAGAAGGCAAAGTGAAAACAATGCCCTTGTTCCTCTACTTTTCCCGCAGTCCCCAACGTAAGAAAAATAGAGGATTTTAAGTCAGAGATTTAAGGCAGTACCCGAGACCCTACGGAGCAGTTACCTTCCACTGCCTCTGAGGCAGTTGTGGGTCTGGTTGACTCCTCATTCGGAGCCACAGTAGGGCTGGAACTTGGGCAGGTGACCGGCGGGGCCGGTGGGCAGAGTGGCCGAGGGGGCGGGAGGAGGACGACGGCCGGGATTGGCCGGCGGCGAGGGCGGCGCCCGCGGGCGGAGAGGAGGACTCCGCGCAACCATGGCCGCAGCCGCCCGGGCCCGGGTCGCGCACTTGCTGAGGCAACTGCAGCGCGCATCGTGAGTGCCGGGCCGGGGGAGGGGGCGGGCGGGGGACCGCGGGATGCCGCTGTGCCCACGCAGCCCGTGCAGTCTTCCTCTGGTTACTCTAAAGAATTTGGAGAAAGGGACACCGCAATGCTCTCCAGCCCTGTGCCACATGGGACAGCCAGGTCACAGAGTGTGCGGTGCCGCCATGCACGATGCGGTGAGGCAGGTTTTGCTCTGCTTGACTACCGTTAAGGAAACCGAGGCCCAGAGAGGACAGTGCCTGGCCCCACATCGTGGAAGGCAGTGTAGAGCTTGGCACGGTGGCCAGCACAAATTCATGTATCCAACTGACACTGATTTTTCAGGTGTATAGTAAGTGCCAGGTACTATTCTAGGTTCTGGCGATAACGAAGATGAAAGTCTCTGCTGCGGTTTAAAGTCCAGTGGGGAACAGGATGAAGGAACAGGTGAAACTGGCCTGTTCCAAAGCAACAGACAGGGATAGAAGGGAAAAATGGATGTGAGAAATCCCAAGGAGTCACTGCCTGGCAGGTGCAGACGGGGTATTCAATGCTGACATCCCTGGCTCCCTCTCCAGAAATGCCGGGTACATAATAGTCACCTGACAACTAGTTGCTTGTGCAAGCGCACAGTCGGTCTGGAAAAACGGAAAGGGGGAAAGGAGAGGCACACCACAGATGGAGAGATGTAGTTCCAGGATCTAAAAGTAAAGTCTGGACCTGCCTTCCTAGGAGGTGAGGATGGAGAAGATAGCTGGTGAAAGATCATGAGTAAGAAAATAGCTAACACCATGTGCCAGGGACTGTTCTGCACACTTCGCATGCACTATTAAATAATAGTAACTCTAATCCTTACATCAACACTGTGACATACGGTATCGTTATCCTCATAGATAAAGGCACGGAGCATAATTTGTCCAGTGTCACACAGTTAAGCAAATGGCACAGTCATAATTTGAACTTGTACTCTGGCTTCACAGTCCTTGTTCTCAGGCCTATGGTAAGGAATTTGAATTGTGTCCTGTAGATATTGGAAAATTATTGAAGCAATATTTCTCACCATGAAACACTAATACCTTGAAATGCCCCATGATAAAAGAATGCCATGGCCAATTAAGTTTGGGAAACTACTTAACTGCTCTATTGCCCTCTTGGAAAGTTGGGATATACATTAGGACAGGAAGGATTCCAAGAAGTTCTGCAGAAGGAAAAAGTTTAGCTGTGTTCAAATTCTTGATTTTAAGCCTGTGTCATCATAGAACTCCTTATTCTATGGGACTCTATCCATGTCCCATGGGACCAGTGTCACACAAAGTTTTTGGAATGGTTGCATAAAAAGGGAGTGTGGCAAGATTAGAATTACGTTAGCACCTTCTGGCGGCAGTGTGGAGTGAAGAGGAAGGACCAGGGGTCATTGTGGTGCTCCAGCTTAAAGGTAATGGCTTCAGGCACCGAGGAGGCAGCTGGTACACGGGGCACATAGGAGAACTGTTGAGGACTTGGTTAGAATCCGCAGGATTTTGTATCTGATTAGTGACACAGAGGGAGGAATTGAGATTTCTGGCTGGGGCATCAGGTAAACAGTGGGCCATTTACCAAGGTAGGGACTATAGGAGGGTTAGCTTTGGTAGGAAGATGGTCACTGCAGTCTTGGGCACTTTGAGTTGGACATATCTCTGGCATATCCCCATGAATACCCTCAGTAGGTGGTTGAATGTGTTGTTCTGGAGCTCAAGAGCGAGTTGGGGATTCACAGTGTGTATGGAACAGTTGAAACCCGTGGAAGCAAAGGCCTTGGCAAACTGTAGACCCAGAAGGAAAGGGCTGAAGGGTGAACTCTTGGGGAGTGGCACTGCCGCAGCAGGTGCAGCAAAATGGTGCTGTCTTTCTTCTGCACGGGTTTATTTTTCTAATAGGGGAAATGTTTGAAAAGGGGGAGGTTTCAGATAAAAATCTTGGAAAATTGGAAAATGGCATCACTGGGTGCACACTTCATCCAGAGAAAGTGAACTGTGGCAGAGGTGAGATGACGGCCACCTCCTTTGGACATGGCATGCACTCCAGCCTCCGCTCTCCACTCCACAGAGCAGGCGCGCTGCCAGCCAGCTGAGTGGAGGGACAAGAGCCAGCACTGAAGAGACACAGGCAAGGCGGGGCCTGGCCAGAGAGGTGGGGGAAGCCCTGGAGGCAGAGAGTCACACTCTGTCCACAGGTTACAGCTTCCCTTTATCTGGCTGTGCTTTCCTCCCTGGGGCATAGCAGGGACCAGAACAGCCTAACCAAGCCATCAGGGTGTTTACCTGCCTGTGTGGGGCATGGGGGACAGACTAGTTAGTAAAATTTAAAGTACATTAGCTGTTGACAGGTGTTGAAGAGAAAATAAAGGGGGGTGGGATGTTGAGGAAGGGATGCAATTTTAGAGGTGGTCAGAGCAGCCCTCATCATGTTAGTTTCCTACAAATTAATTACCACTAACTTGGTGGCTCAAAACAGCTCACATTTATTCTCTTACAGTTCCGGAGGTCAGAGGCCAAAGTTAGTTTTACTAGACTGAAATGAAGGTGTAAGTAGGGCCACAGGCCCTCCTGGGGCTTGGAGGCTCTAGAGAATTCATTTACTTACTTTTTCCTAGCTTTTAAAGCTGTATCTTGCATTCCTTAGCTGGGGGCCTTTTCCCTCATCTTTGCAGCCAACAGCGCCACTTCTTGCTTCAGTGGTCACGTTTCTGCCATCTCTGTCAAATCTCCCCCTGCCTTCCTATAATACTATTATATAAGGACACATGTGATTGCATCTAGGGCCAGAGAGATACTCCAGGATAATCTCCTCATCTCAAGAGCCTTAACTTAGTCACACCCGCAAAGTCCCTCTTACCATATAAGGTAACAGTCGCAGGTTCCCGGGATTAGGACCTTGTCTTCAGGAGCCTACAACATTCACTGAGAAGGTAACTGCTGCAGAAAGACCACGGAGGGAGGGAGCAAACCACGTAGCTCCTGGGGAAGGTATGCAGAGGTGGAGCACACCGGGTAGGGTTTCAGAACAAGAGACTGAGGCAGATGGGGAGGGGGCCAGGGATGACCTGGTTTTCTGGCCTGAACAATTGGAAGGCTGAAATCACCATTAAACTGGGATGGGGAAGACCAGGAGCTCAGTCTTTGACTGAAAATGGGAGATGCCTCATAGACATCCAAATAGAGATGTCTAGTAGGTAGCTGAATCTGGAGTTCAGGAGGGAGGCCCAAGCCAGAAAGATAAATGTGAAAGTTGTCCACATAGAAGGTGTTCAAAGCCGTGAGACTGGCCAGGTGCGGTGGCTCAGGCCTGTAATCCTAGCACTATGGGAGGCTGAGGTGGGAGGATCCCTTGAGGTCAGAAATTTGAGACCAGCCCTGTCTCTGCTAAAAACAGAAAAAATTAGCTGGGCATGGTGGCGTGTGCCTGTAGTCCCAGCTACTTGGGAGGCTGAGCCAGCAGAATCACTTGAGCCCAGGAGTTGGAGGTTGCTGTGAGCTAGGCTGATGCCATGGCACTGGGCACTTGAGCCCAGGTGACAGAGCGAGACTCTGTCTCAAAAAAAAAAAAAAAAAAGCCATTGAGACCAGGTGAGGTCACTAGGGAGTGAGCATGGAGAGAGAAGAGAAGGGTCCCCAGGCTGAAGCCTGAGTCCTCCAGGGTTCTGAGTCAAGAGCATGAAAAGAAATGAGTCCAGGAGCAGCCAGTGCAGCAGGAAGAAAACCCAGAGTGGTGTTCTGGAAGCCAGGAAAGAACGTGTTTCCAGGGGAGGAGGGGAACAGGAGGATGTTGCTTACAGGTCGGGTAAGATGAGGACTGAATTGAGAACTGAGCGGGGAACTCACCAGACAGAGGACATTAGTGAGCTGGGAAGCTTGTCAATAGAGTCAGGGACAAAAGCTGATGACAGGAGGTTCCAGAGAGAATGCGAGAAGAGAAATGGGAAGAGTGGGTATGGTCATCAGTAGGAGAGAGAGGTAGGAGCAGGAACAAGAGAGGAAAGAAGGACAAGAGGTTTTTGGTTTTGTAATGTAATACAGAGGAAATACGCTTATGGATAGGCTAAAAATATGCTGGATGTGGACAGGTAACATATAACAAGGAAGGGAATTCTGATGATGCAGGGCAGAAAAGGAAGAGCTGCTGGTGATGTCCTTGAGTAGAGGAGAGGGGCTGGGATTTGGTGAACAGGAGGTAGGTTGGCCTTTGCCAGCCACCGCTAAGAGTGCATCAGTGACACCAGGAGGGAAGCCAGGATAATGGGGCCAGAGCCACGAAAGCAGGTAGACGAGGTCCTTTCTCTGACCACGGTTCTCTTGTTTCTCAGGAGTCCAGGGAAGCCCTTCAGTGGTTTCAGGTCATCCTAAGAAGGTGGGGAGCCCACAGCCTATTCTTCCCACCCCAGTTCAGGCTCTCTGTCTTGGCACACCAGGAAAAGAGAAAAGACAGTCAGGGGGATAAAAATGTCTACATTCATGTATTTATTCATTTAATCAGAACTAATTACTGAGTGATCAATTACTTTGTGCCCAGCACTGTGCTAGCCACTACAAATAAAGTTGTGAGAAAGGGTAAATCTTGCTTTGGCGTCACTAACTTTACAATCCAGAGGCAGATGGAAACAGGCAAACAGCAAAACAGCACCAGCAATGCAGTGTGGTAACAGGTTTAATAGAGAGGCACAATACTAGGATTGCAGAGAAGAGGTGTCTACCTGGGGTCTCCAGCCTCAGGGAAGACAGCCCCCGATGGGAAAGAACAGAAGTTATTCCAGAAGAGGAAAAGAAAGTGTGTTCCAGACAGAGGAAAATACAACGACAAAGTTCTGGAGGAGAGAAAGAGACAGAGATTGTGGCTCATTCAAGGAAAAAAACAAAGTTATTAATAATGTTCCAGGCGCTCTAACCCAAGATGGAGCTAGATGCGGGGTGGAGGGGCCAGGTCAGAATCTCCTCTAAGAGCCCTGGGGAGCCATTAGAGCAGCTTTAAACAAGGAGTGACATCACTGGAAACAACCCCACCACCACCACAGTGAGGGGAATAGAGGTGGGGCACCCCC